CTAGTTTTTTGTTGTTAATTTCTTCCATACTTTTTGGACAGTTTTTGTTCCTTTGTTGTCCAGCTCCGTTATTATTTAAGACCCTATGAAACACTTATTTTTCTTTTAAAAATTCATATTTACTATCATTTATACACTAGTCTCCGAGGGACATGCATACTGTTTTAAATTTCTTACTGCGCTGAACTTCTTACTTTTGCTTCCTGCTTATTTGGAATCATATTTATGTATTTATACATTCAAAAAAGGTTTTTGTTGTAGGCTGTAAGGATACAGCAGTGAACAAGACAAAGTCCCTGATGTGATACATTTTTTAATATATTATTTCATATCTCATAAGTGAAGAGTACAATAAAGGAAAATAAAATGAGTTAAAGAGTAATAAAAAATTTTTAAAGCATAATAGGGGTGGAGTAACTTATAACCATACCACCCTGAATGTGCCTAATCCTGTCTGATCTCCAAAGCTAAGCAGGGTCGGGTCTGGTTAGTACTTGGGTGGGAGACCACCTGTGTATACCAGGTGCTGTAGGCTTTTTGGGGTCCTGGCATGGTGCTGTCGAGTTGTTTCCAACCCATAGCAACCTTATATAGGGTTGTCAAGGAAAGGCTGGTGAGCTTGAACCACCGACCTGGTGGTTCAAATGACTTTGTAGTCCGGCGAATTAGCCCACAGCGCTATACCAGGACTCCATACTATTAAATAAGGTGGCCCATAAAGTCTTCTTTTATCATGATAACTTGGCAACAGCGACTTAAATGAAGTGAAGGCATGAACCATGGAAGTGACAGGTAGGTCATTTCTTCAGCCCGAGGCAGCAGCAAGTGTAGAATTCCTGACATGGATATTCTTGGCATATTCAGGAAAGTACTAGGAGGACAATATGATTAGCAGGGTGAGCAAAGGAAGAATGGTAAGAAATGAAAGGACGGTGGTGAGCAGAAGGTGATCTGGTTTGAGGCTGCATGTGGGTACATCAGTGGGTCAAGGAATACATATTATCTAATGTCCCAATTCGACCCGACTCTGCTCTCAGTTATTTCAGTGGTAATGTTCTCTTTATAGAGCTGCCTTGTGAATCGAACAAAGGGAGTCTTACCAGGTTGTTGTCCAAGAAATGCTGCTATAGTGACATGTTCTAGAAACAGGGAACTGAGACTGAGACATGATTTCCAAAAGATTCTTCGTATATGACCCTTTATTTTGAGATATTCCCTTCCCCATATTTTGAAGGATTTCAAGGCAAGTGGGATCATGGCAACACTAGAATAGTACTAAAAACAATAATGGACCCTCATCTCCAAGCCACTGATAGGTAAGGCTGAATCTCACAGCCCTTGATCTTGGTAGCTTCCACTGGTGAGCTGGCTTCAGAAGAAGAGGGGTCTAGGGGTGGGGAGTGGAGGGCTCTGGACATTGGCCCAGGGAATCCTCAACCAAGGTTGGCTCACGGCAGCAGCTCCCTCAGTGACTACTTGTGAAGTGGCTGCGTAGATGCTGTGCACTTCCATGTGACAAGAGCTACTGTTAGAGAAATAGAAAGTTTAACTAGAGACTCCCAGAGAACAACCTGCCACGAGACCTTTTACTGTTCAGAATTCCTTCAGATAGTGTTTAGAAGTATTAGTCTAGCAGTAAATTGCAAAGAATGAAAAATGGCAGGACTGTAATATATGGTCCTTTCAGGCAGACTAAAGATTTGATACCAAGAATAGATTTGATCTTTTTTCTTCCCATGAGTAATGGTGTTGGTAGATGATTTAGAGGAGGAGTGAAGTTGGTATCCGGAGCGTAGAAAATGCAGCAGAAACTCTTCAGATTGTACTTTAAGTATAATTTTCTTAACATAAATATATTTTACCACTGTTTTGTTTTAAAGGGTTTCTGAGGGTGGGGAAGGCATAATTATATTAGTATTTTTCAGAAAATTTTGGCAGTACAGCTACTACATCTATGTAAAATTTAATATTAGATTTAAAAACATACTTCTGGAGATCTCATTTTCTTGTGACTATTACTCTTCTGCACAGAAAAAGTGTTTGCTAAAACATTTGTTAGGAATTATAGTCCATATTACTGTAATAGATATAAACTATGTGTATCTATGTCCTGGTGTGGCTCTGTAAGATAAGCACTAGACTGCTAACTGCATGGTGGGCAGTTCAAACTCACCAGCCGCTCTTTAGGAACCGTATCCAGGGTCACTGTGTGTTGGAACCAACTCAACAGCACTTAGCAACAGCAACATGTGTATACATATGGGGGCATGGTGGTATGCCATGGAGTCAGTTCTGACTCATAGCCACCCTGCATAGGGTTCTGAGACTGTAAATCTTTACGGGAGCAGAAAGCCTCATCATTCTCCCATGGCGTGGCTGGTAGATTTTAACAGCTGATCCTATGGTTAGCAGCCCAATTTGTAAACCAGTATTCTACCAGCTCTGGTAGTGTAGTGGTTACAAGTTGGGATGCTAACATGAAGGTCAGCAGTATGAAACTACCGGAGATTCTGTGGGAGAAAGATAAGGCTTTCTGCTCCCATGAAGATTTACAGCTTTGGAAACCCTATGCAGAGTCTCTATGAGTCGGAACCGACTCCACAACATGTCACCTCCACCACCACCATGCTACCCAAGCTCCTTATAGAGAGACATTGTGATGGTGATACTTGTATGTCATTGAGTTGGTTCTAGCTCATAGCTACCCTGCATAGAGTTTCCAAGGCTGTAAATGCTTACGGGAGCAGAAAGCCTCATCTTTCTCCCACAGAGCAGCTGGTGGATTCGAACTGCTGACATTGTGGCTAGCAGCCCAACATGTAACCCACTATGCTACCAGGGTTCCTATATGAATACATAGACATTGATATTATTGGATAACTTAAATGTTAAGGAGCTCTGGTAGCATAGTCGTTACAAATCAGGCTGCTAACGTCAAGGTCGGCAATTCGAAACTACCAGCTGTTCCGCAGGAGAAAGATGAGGCTTTCTGTTCCCCTAAAGATTCGCAGTCTCGGAAACCCTGTGCAGAGTCACTATGAGTTGGAACCAACTCCACGGTACTTAACAACAACAACAAAATGTCAAATATGAAAATGTTTAAACTCTCTAAATAATTTTCAATTTCAAGTATGTTAGATTTAAAATGTAGATTTCTACTAAGTCAGAATCTACTTGAAGGCAATGGGGTTTGGATCCTGAGGTGGTTTCCAAATGCTTTGGACAGAGAATCAACATTAAGACACTAACTGTTTACTAAACACTTAACTAGTGGGGAGAGCTGCATATGTCACAGGACAGTTCTGTACCCCTCCTTCCTTCAAACCAGTATCCTTATACAAAGAGGGCAGCCGCATCCTGTGCACAACCAAACCATGTGGCTAAGAACGAATCAAGTAAAGGGAAAGGAGTAGGTCATTGCGTGATGCTTAAGGATAGGACAGAGTACGTTTTGTTCATGTTACCTGGTAGTAAGTAACAAATAAAACAACTAAAAGCTTAGTCATTTGTGTCCTAAATTTGTCAAACATGTATTAATGTCATAATGTCTGCTAGTGCCAATATGGCTTTGTCAAATGCTCAGATGGAAACAGTCTCTCTCTCACGTTCTGTCTCCCTCCCACCCCTTTGCTTCTTCTCTCCCTCTTCCTGGAGTTTCAGATTTGTAATCCCACGTCCTAGAAGATTTTGAGTCTCTATACTATATCTCAAAGGAGCTCTGGTAGCGTAGTGGTTACAAATCGGGCTGTGAACCTCAAGGTCAGCGGTTCGAAACTACCAGCTGTTCCGCGGGAGAAAGATGAGGCTTTCTGCTCCCGTAAAGATTTACAGCCTCGGAAACCCTGTGCAGGGTCGCTATGAGTCGGAACCGACTCCACAGCATTTAACAACAACAACAACAATACTATATCTCAACAAAACATTAGAAAAATGTTTCTTCCTTTTTTGGTGTCATCTGCTTTACCCCCCCTTGCCCCCCTTTTAGAAAATAATAACAAAGAGACGAGGTTGGTAGTGTGGAACCCCAGTGCGAAAGTCAAGGGATGTGTCTTAGTATCGATGCAAAGTCTTCATACAGATTTAGGATGGGCCACTTGTTCTGGGCAAGGAGTACTGAGACACTAGGACTAAGTAATGGGCAGGATATGCAAAACTCGTTGAGGCTATAAAATCCTACCCGATTTACACATGTGCTAATTATTATTGTTACCACCCTACACCCTAACCATATGGGTATAAAGTCACCAACACAAAGCATAAATCAGGAATTCTGAGACTTAATCCACTCATGGAAACAAAAAACAAAACGAAACAAGCAGCCTCATAACCTTCCCATCCTCCTCCCTGGGTCCTATGTTTCCGTCCTGGGACGTCGGCACCACATACGCCTCATCATGCTGCGTATAGTCACAGCTGTCATTTAGAGCAACTAGTAAATTCGGGAAATCATGGAATTAGCAGGAAAGGCAGTTTTTTTTTTTTTTTTTTTTCTGGTGGATAGCTTTCTAGTTTCAGTCTAAATTACTGATTTATTTTACAGCGCTGTGATTGTATTGATAAAAAGTTTATTTAATTCCTTAATGCTATAAAAAAAAAGCAGGAGAACATAATTAGATTGAATATGTAGGCCCTTTTGTCTTTTCTGTTTCCGTTCAAATAGAAATCTTTGCATAATCGTCACTGTAGCAAAACTGAGTTTTTTATTTAAATCCCTTTGGATTTGTTGCATATGTCTCATTTCAAGACCTCAAGGATGTTTGCCTTTATGGAAATAATTATCAGCAGACCTAAGTGGTATACTGCATGATTTTTCTTTCAGTTCATTCTAAGAATTAGCTAGGGCATTTTGGAAGAATCTTAACACTTTTACTATAGACTTATTCATTGAAAAATATGCCTGAGCTAGCTTGACTCTTTGAAACGTGTTGCTCCCCACTTCCGTATGGGTCATCTCACCTGTTTTTTTGTTTTTGTTGTTGTTGTTAAAATGTTCAATTCAGGTTCTACATGGTCAGCTATTATGAGCGGAATCACAGAATAGCAGTTGGAGCTCGCCATGGTTCAGTGGCCCTGTACGACATCCGGACTGGAAAATGTCAGGTAAATAAATCATTGTGACTTCACTCCATAAAGTGTGGGAGTTATTGAAAGGAGAGAGAGACTTAGCACTTCATGAGTTGACATGCTGAGCTGCTGGAACATTATGGATAATGCTAAAGGAATCAATAGTTTAATGAAGGACTCAAAGAATATAGAGCCCTACTGTCTTATTCACTGGAACTGAAGGGCTGCCCAGGATGGGTTAATAACAGAGCCCAGACGGAGGGTTTCCTTCTCACAAACGACTTGGCCACAAATCAGATCCTTTTTTAAAATATAGTTTTCTAATTTTCTTATGAATTTTTGTCATGCATTTCCTGCATAAAGTTTGATGATGCATTACTATGATACAGTAAATAAAAAATTGTTTTCTGACTACTAATTGAAGTGAGGTGTTTAGCAATTATAGATAATCATCTAGTGAGAGTTCATAAAACAAGAGGAAATCTTTTTATAATAGCATCTATTGTGGCTTTATAAAAGGAAATTGGTGTTCCTTTGAAATAAGAATCATATTCTGCTTTTATAATTCTATTGCTTATTCAGTTTTCTTGTAAAATTTTCACACTTGGTTTGCAAAATATACCAGTTGTGAAGGCAGGACAAGTCTTAGACCCATTTTAGATATGTCCGAATTAAAGCTTAGAGACTTTCAATCTCTTTTTTCCACCATCACACTGCTAGTTAATAGCAAACCTAAAACTAGACTCTAGCGTGATCATGGAAAATTGATAAAATCATTGATAATAGTTCCAATTTATGATGACCTATTTTAGCACTAGTTAATGTTGACATATTCAGTTAAACTATTATGAAAGAATATGATGTGATATATAAATTTATGAGTAAAACTTCGAGCTTTCTGGTAGATTTAGTAAACTATGGATTAATTTCCCAAAAAATTCCCTGACTGCTTTCCATGAAATAGTTCTAAGAGATGGTAACAGGTGTACAGGCTATAAGGTTCCGGGTCAGACACATTAAGGGGATACCACTAGCATGGCCAACACATTTCCTTATTGCAAATGTCCCCAGAGTTTCTGAGGTGTGGGTGCATTTCCCAGGATTACGTAGTAGATGCACCATTCGCCTTCCGTATTTAACTATTGATGTTTGTTTGAGTGTGTGATTTTATTTAGGACATTAACTGACTGTGTTATTTTGCTCTGAACTCTAAGGGCAATGGCACCACTTTAAATATTTGTTTGAAACTTAAGCAGCATGTTGTTTATAACATTCTCTCCTAAGAGAGACAGCATTTTCAGAATCTTTCTTACGGTGTGTGAAAATCGAAGTTTGTGACCACTGAGAGAAATGAACAACAAATACCTGTTTGGGGAAGACAGGAAAAACAAAAATAGAACCAGGGGAGCTTTTCCAACTTCTTTAAAACTGAAGTAAAATCAGAGAGGGTTCTTCTTTATCAGACAAAACACATTGCCACCTGCAGAGAGAAAACTGAGACACCTATCAGCTTAGTGCAGAAGAAAAACAGCAATTGAGAATTCATGAAAAGGACCCAAGTGGACATAAGTATGCATTTCTCTACCTTTTTGTCCCAGCTGAGTGAAGCACCTTGGTAACCTGTATAAAACATTAATATTTTGAATACCTTCTTCCTTGGGGTTTAATTACGTGAGGTACACTTATCAACTAAAGACAGTCTTAGCTCAAACTTGTCATTCATGTGCCATCTTATTTTCTGTACTTCATGCAGTGCAGGTAAACACTGTAGTGTCTCTTTGCTTTTTTTCTATCTCAGCTTCCTAATTTTGATATCACAAAAGTGTCCTTGCTCTTCTAGGACTGAGTAAGCCTTCCTTACCAGGTCTGTATGAATGTGCAGGTCACCCTTTCCTGTCCTCCGGCAGGAATTGAAAACCCGCCTAAGTCTTGACCAGCGTTCATCATTTAGCAGTTACACCCAGTGACAGTGAGCTCTTCGGGGCTTCTTGGGCATCTGTTATGCTATCACTGCTGTTGCCCTTTGCTGTAGAGTCAGTTCTGACTCCTGGTGATCCATGTGCCCAGTAGGAAGTGTCGCTCAGTCCTGCGCCCCCTTCAGTCACTGGTGTGCTTGAGCCCATTGTTGGGGCCACTGTGTATTTTGAGGGTCTTCTAACCTAGGGGTCTCATCCTCCGGCACTACATTGGACCAACTTACATTGTGATCCGTAGGGTTTTTGTTGACTACATTTTTTGCCAGCTCTTTCTTCCCTAGTCTCTGTTAGTCAGGAAGCTCCACTGAAACCTGTCTGCAGTGGGTGACCCTGCAGGTAATTGAAATCCTGGTGAGGTAGCTTTAAGCATCATAGCAGCACGCAGGTTACTGCAGTACAATACATATTAGGAGACTACTGAGTAGTAGCACCAAGTCCACAGCTGGAATAGAGGTGGCATTCGTAAATATGGAGAGACTTGAAAGGATGAATCAAACAGCACGGGGAACCTTTCTTAGAATTCATGAAGAAGAAATCTGTGCTTCTGTACTAGACTGTGGCCAGGCCTGAGACAGGCAAGACAATGAATGAGGACAATTGAAGCCGAGTGATTAAACGCTGCTGACTGTGGTGTAGCTAGAAACCCCTCATACAGCAGGAAGCAAATTCTGAAATGCTGACTTGTCCACAGAAGGCAAGGAGCTTGTATTGTGTGCTCCTCTGACCAAGGTCAGCAGTTCGAAACTACCAGCTGCTCCACGGGACAAAGATGAGGCGATCTGCTCCCGTAAAGATTTACAGCCTCGGAAACCCTGTTCAGGGTCGCTATGGGTCGAAACTGACTCGACGGCACTTAACAACAACAACTGACCTTGTAGATCCCCCTCCTTGAGTAGGATGATTTGACCTCTGACCTTCAACACCCCTATGAGTGAAAAGGGAGGAAATAGGGCACTGTGTCTACCTTACATCTTGTGTCCTTATCTCCTGCATGTCCGCCAGTGTCCTCTCATGCTAACTCTGCAGTACACATAAGCAACCCTGAACTCTATCCAAATCTGTGTTCACCAGACTGTAAGCCCTCACTTATGCCATCCTTGCCCAGCCTGGCTTACCTTTATTCTTCAACCAACAAGGCCTCACCTACTGGTCCAGCCAAGCAACTTCCTGCCATAACCAGAAAAGCCACAAGTACCTTTAAGTGCACATGAAAGATCTCCCTCATTGTCCTCAACTGCAAAGTCCTGTAAGAAATGACTCCACTTGCAGGGAACATGTATTTTCACTTCAGTGACTATGGCTCCAGGTTCTATTGGGGCCTGTTATGTGCCATGGAGTCGGTTCTGACTCATAGCGACCCTGCATAGAGTTTCTGAGGCTGTAAATCTTTACGGGAGCAGAAAGCCTCTTCTTTCTCCCACGGAAAAGCTGGTAGTTTCAAACTGCTAACCGTGAGATTAGCAGCCCGATTCATAACCACTGCGCTACCAGAGCTCCTTTCTATGGGGCCTAGAGCTTATAAAATTAGCAGGAGGCTTCCCTATGTATAAAAAAAGATATTATGGACCTGTTTTAAAAAAAAAAAAAAAGCTCATGAATGTCATGGTCAATCTGCCTTTAAAGGCTCTTTATAAAAATGTATTTTAAAATCTTCTCTGTTGTTACTCGTCTTCTCTGCTTCTCTTAACTGTTGTATATACTGAAGGGTTTATGGCAACCCTCTGCTCTGAGCCCCAGGCAGCCACCTTTACAGAGCGACTGAAACCACTGAAACAAACCATCACTAAAACCCTCTTCTAAACCTTAGTAAAGGGTTGCTAGAGCCCATGACATATTGCATTAGGCGTATCTGCTGCAAAAGATGATTTTAAACTGTTAAAGAGCAAAGAAGTCACTGTGAGGACTAAAGTACACCGGACCCAAGCCGTGGCATTTTCCGTCACCTCATATGCATGTGAAAAGTTGGGCAGTGATTAATAAGGAAGACCGTAGAAGAATTGTTGCCTTTGAATCATAGTTTTGGAAAAAAAAAAAAAATTATATGTACCATGGATTGCCAGAAGAACAATCAGATTTGTCTTAGAAGAAGCACAGCCAGAAAGCTCTTTAGAAACTTCATCTCTAGTTCTTTGGACATGTTCTCAGGAAGGTCCAGTCCCTGGAGCAGGACATCATGCTTGGTTAAGTGGAGAAACAGCGAAGAAGTGGAAGGTTGATTGATGCTGTGGCAGTAACAATGGGCTCATATGAAACACAGAATGTTTCATTCTGTGTGCATAGACTCACTGTGGGTCAGAACCGACTCCATAGTACCCACAACAACAGTTTGACTCCATGGTGTAGTTTTATACAACTGACTCCCTTCTCACTCAAATGTTCTTGCTCCTGACCTTCCATAACACTGTAATCTGCCTTGAGCATGTATTTCTACGACAGACTCATAGGTGAAGCATTTCTCTGAGCAAATTGCTAACAATAATCCACATAGAAATAATTTGTTTTTAAACATTTTAAACATTTGCTCTGTTTCCATTGCAATTTGTTTTTTATATTTAAATTCCTTATACCCTTTGTAAATTATACAACCCTTTCCAACCCAAACTTTCCCACCTATATTTCTTATTCAGAAAAAATTACTTTCTAATTTTTATAATATGCCAACTTTAATATTATCTATAGCATAGTGGTTACGAATCGGGCTGTGAACCACAAGGTCAGCAGTTCAAAACTACCAGCTGCTCCACGGGAGAAGGATGAGGCTTTCTGCTCCCGTAAAGATTTATAGCCTCGGAAACCCTGTACAGGGTTGCTATGGGTCAGAACCGACTCAACGGCACTTAACAACAACAACAATAAAGTCAATTAGCAAACTGTTTATTTCCTCTTACTTAGAGAAGACAGTTATTAAAGGTTATTAAGAGAGCAGGTTCTGTGGCCAGACAGCCTGGGTTCAGACTCTGGTTCAGCTTGTTTTATTTAGCTTTGTGGCTGTAGGTGAGGCACTTAAACTCTCTGTGCTTCAATCTTTTCATGTATAAAATGGGAATAATAACTCTCACA